ACTGGGAGCTCTGGTTGCCTGGTGGTGAGATGGCACTGCAATCACAAAGCTGCATGGTTTGAATCCATAAGCTGCCCGTGGGGAAAGTATGGCATTCTCCTCTCATGTGGTTTACTGCCTCTGAACACCCACTGGAGGGTCAGCTGTGGGACAGTTCAGAGTTGACGGCACACAGCAACAGTTGTATCCCGGTGTAGACATACTAGTTTTTTGCTTACTTTCATGATTAGTATAATTTGTTCTACATGATAAAATAGTTGGTATTGTTTACTTTCGAATCTAGTAATTTAACTAGCATTCTTTTCAGTGTATGATACTGCTTTCTCATGATCCAAGGTGGCTAAATAAATGTTCTACTAACTTTTGAGGTTAGAGTAGGGGGAAAAGTGATGGAGCTCTTCTGTTTAATTGCTAACTGGTTATAGTACAAGTGAGGGGGTAGTGGCACATAGTTAAAGCGTCCAGCTGCTAACCAAAAGGTTGGCAGTTAACACCCACCAGCTGTTCTTTGGGGGGCGGTCAGGAGCTGAGGTGGGTGGGAATATGGCCCTCTGCTTCTGTATGGACTTGGAGCCTTGGAAACCTGTGGGCAGTCCTGCTCCACCCTGTTGGGTCACTGTGAGTTGCAGTGACCTCAGCAGTCAGATTTTGGTTTTGCTCAACGCTATTTACTAGTCCACTCATCCATCCTAATTTAGGGTTAGCCAGTCGACAGTCACGTGTCAGATTTTGAGTGCATAGTGGAGGGAGTTTTGTAGAAAGTCTTTAAAACAAAACCAAAAGCTTATGTTTTCTCTAAAGTATTTTGCATGAACTCTTCCTTCTTAGATGCTGTTCTGTTGGCTCTGACTCCTTCCGAACCCTGTTGACAGCAGAAGAGAACCTTCTCTAGTCTGCACCATCCTCACAGTATCTACTGATGTCAAGCCCTTGTGGCAGTCACTATGCCAGTCTACATCGTTGAGGGTCTTCCTCCTTTTTTGGAAAGGGTTATCATATTTTTTTATTGGAGGATAGAGTAAAGATGGAAAATTCTAGGAAGATGAAATAGAATGATAGTTGAAGGTGATTGTTATGCGCCGTTAAATTGAGACTGACCCAATGGGTTCTCAGAGGCAGTAAATCACATGGGAGGTGATTGCCCATTCTTCTCCCATGGATTAGAAGCATGTGCCCTTGGGATTTCAGCACAGCTTCTTAACCACTAGGCCATCCGAGCTCCCTTTTGTGAGTAGGAAAATATTATGTGTGGAACTTTTAATTTTGAAGTGAGTTTTGTTGTTGTTGTTGTTGTTTTTTAATCAAGAAATGAGTTGATGGAAGAAGACAAAATCAAATTGTCAAAAACTGGTAATGATACATTATTATTATAGGCCCCAAAATAATTTTTTAAATTATAATTTGACATCAACAATTGTCCTTTTATTGGGACTTTTATTGTAGTTTTGGAATATCAGGGACCTTTAGCGACATTGGTTTAGCAGGATCCATGAAGCATAAAATACCATTGCTACGTCCACTAACCCTAACAGTATTTCAAACTGCCTGCCTAAATGGGATATCTGTGAATGTACTTGCTCAGGGATGCATGACCCACATCACCTATAAATTTGATTGGAAGCTACAGTGCTGGCGTAGGCTGATGGATAGCAGATTACAGCCCTGATTAACCATGTGATTTGAAGACTGGGAATATATTGTCTAAGCAAGATTCATCAAACGCAATCAGAATATCAAGTGGTCAGATGAAATTCAAATGTGTATTGTGGCTTTTCTTCCCCAAGTGCTTCTCTTCCTAGGTTGCCTTCCCCCACCCCCCTTCCCTTTCCCCAAAGCTGAAAAATACTTCTTTGATGAATCTGCTCCTTACCCTAAAGCTGTCTGTCTGTTATTCATCAGAAAGCAGGTCGCAGTTCAGTGAGCAGAAGAAAAGATTTTAATAGAAGCTGTGCCAAGGGCTGTAATGCATCATTTTAGGGCCCTAATTACATTACAATGACAAATATCAATGGTGACAACAGCAATAACCTACATCCTTAAATGGCTGTGCTGGAAAAGGAGTTTGGGCCCCACACCATTAGATTAGACTCAGTTTCAAAACATCGGCCATTAGAAGTGTGTGTCCACGGTATTATTGGCTGAGCACTGAAGCCCAGTGGAAAGACCTGTAAATAAATGATACCTCCCTAGAGCTGGGCCCGATGGGACAAAAGAGGCAAAATGAGATGACCATGGAAGCCGTGGTGTTTCCGAGGCAACTCTAGCTTTCAAAGTGAGGAATGACCTGCTTAATTTTATGAAATCACATACACACATCCCACCCCTCCTGCTGCCAATTAGTCTGACCATGAAAATCCATTGACATAACAGCTTAAAGAAATTAAGAAGTCTTTTAAACAAAAGGAACATTAAAAAACCCCACAAAATGTTTGGAAGATTTCCTCCCTCTCTGTTAACGTTTGTGTGTAAACAGAAAAGGGAGCTGGTTAAAAAGAAAAAAAAAATCTTAATTTAAAGATTTGTTTTTAAGACAATGTAGATTCATCTCGGTTAGTTGCCCAGACTTAAAATAACCAACATCCAGAATGAAGGCACAGATATCTCTTGGTCTTTATTTTGCCAGATGAGTAAGTTTCCTTGGTGTAGTTTTTATTGCCTAGATTATGTAGGCAAACTAAAGAACTCAGTTTTCTTATGTGCCCACACATTTTTCAACCCTCCTAGCAAGGGACTATTTTATTTATGTAAACAACATAATGAGGAAAATATGCTTGGCAGATGGTTGTAAGCATTAGAATCATCAGTTTGGTCTGCCCCAAAGTGTCTCATTATCTTTTATTCTTTCCCCCCTCCACCTCCCCCTACAAAAAGCTTAACAACTTTGGAGACATGGTGCTTTCAGCCTGGTGCATGCTACTCTGCTCTCTAAGCTCACCCTGGATTTTTACCCCACTGTGGTATGCTCGTCCAGGTGGAGAGTGGTTTGGCAGTTCCCATCACCCTTTTCACCGTGCTTTAAGCATTCGTAAAGGCTGGCTCACTGCTTCGTGGGGCTAGAGCAGTAAATGAGATCTGGTCAGTGCAGTTGGGTCCTTATTCACTGTTACTCATCGATGCTGGACTTTTGTCCATCCCATTAGGAATTAGGTTGGATGAGAAAGCTTCGGTTTGAAACTACATAGTGAATTTATGTTTTCTTTTGCCTGGCAAAGTTTTTAAGGTGCTTGCATTTAAGAGATTGCATAGCCACACAGCCAGCAGAAGGATTGCTGATGAGAGGAGGTGGCCTGGATTGCACAAGTAGCATGTTGCTGCCATTCTAGTAATGACTTTGCAAGAAAAAAAAGCATTTTGGTCCTCTGGTAAAATGAGGAACTGACCCTGGATGGAATCTATTTTAAGACTGTCTCAGGAATAGTAATTGCTTTACCTTTTCTGCCTCTTAACACTTCTTACTCTGCTCCCCCCAGCCCATCATTACCATATAAGACAGTTTGTCTATCTATGTATAAACCACCACTTTGTGTTCACATATCAAGTACTAAAGTATGTAAGGTACCACTTCATGACTCATTAGGTAGTTTTTAACTTACTGTACTTGCAAAAATTATCAGTGAATGCATTGTTATCTGCCAACGTATGCCTGCAGTGCGTAGGCAATGGATATTTCCAGTGTTAATCCCCACAGATACACACTTTCTTTCTGCCTGTTAAATTTTAGCATATTCTCAGCCTCTGCATAGGTTAACTCCCAGGTTAGGAAAGATCTTGTTGCTGTCTTTCAGTGGAACTTTTAGTTGCGTTAGTACATGCGCATATGATGGTTTATAACCTTGATAGTGCTCGAAAAAGTTAGGAACTTACTGTAATTTTAAACCTCTTTGCAGCAAGTGAAGGTGATTGTGATGAAGAATTTGTTGTGAGCAGGTAGGTCCAAGGAACCCCTGGTGGTGCAGTGCATTTAAGAGTTGGGCTGCTAACAACTGACAATGGGTTCAAACCCACTGTCCACTTTTCAGGAGAAAAATGAGACTCCTGTAGAGATTCACAGCCTCTAAAACCCTATGAGGCAGGTGTGCACAATGTTGTAGGGTTTCCATGAGTCAGAGTTGACTTGATGTCAGTGAATGTGGTTGGGTTTTTTTATTTGGAGGGTTTGGTTCAGTTGTTTCCAAGTGAAGGCAAGTAGGAGCTGCCTGTATATCACTCATTGCTTCCCTCTCAGAACTAAATGACCCTCCAGCAGGTTTTCAGAGGGTGTAAATAGCATGGGAGGAGATTACCCATCTTTCTCCCTTGTAGCAGCTGGTGGATTTGAACTACTTACCTCTGGGCTGGCAGAGCAACTCAGTGCTCACTGTGCCACCAGAGCGTCCTATAAGTCAGATTAATCATGACCCGGAGGGAGCTGCCGGCACAGGAGAAAGCCCTGGAAATGGATGACTGAAGAAAGCATCCCTTGCTTAAACAGTTTATAACTGAGAATCTGGAATAGTTAATTTGGTTGGGTGTTAACTGTTGCAGAAAGTTTGAGGCACGGGTATAGAATCCCAGTGACTATATTTAAAGCAAAAGTCACACATGTAGAAATCTAATGAATGGATAATTAGGAGAAATTGGGATGTAAGCATGAATGAGTCTTTATTGTCTTAAACTCTAAAGGCTTAAGAGTTTATGAAAAACCATGTTGGGGGGTCATGTTAAAAGCATTTGGAAACTGATTGCCAGTCCTGAAGATGATTCTCCTTTTTATGTTGTCCTGATGCTTGAAGGTTAACTTTTTGGGATGAATGTTGGTTAATAAATTGTTATTAATGTGGCACTCTTGTCTGTGCTCCTTTAATGGGCTTGCTGATGAGATCCTTTTCCTTTTCCTTAGGAAATACTCCAGCCAGAATATAAAGAGCGTTTTCTTTAATATCTTGTTAATATTTCTGGAATCTGTAGCCAACTGACTGTTTTTGTTTTTAATTGCTCCCTTTTCTTTTCTCCCCCTGCAGGCAGAGATTGTCAAGAGGCTGAATGCTATCTGTGCACAAGTCATTCCTTTCCTGTCCCAAGAGGTAAGGCTGTTGGTTCACAGCGTCCAGGCACTGGCTAGGAAATTGCCATTTTAGTGATTTTGCAGACGAGGGATCATGAAACGGACATGGTGGCCTTGTTAGCCTTTTGATGTTTGTATTTTATGTTTCTTACAGGATTCTTATCCCAATGTCTACATCTTACTACCATTCAGTAGGATAATAGAATTAAAATGTGCATTAATATGATTAATATTTTCCAGTGTGTTATGCAAAATCCATTTAGAATGGTTTTTTGCTCTATTTATATGATCAGTTTCTGAACTGTCTGTCCTCATGGCATCTAATAGGGTAGAATGAAAAAATTACTGGGTAGACTAGAGTTTGTTGTGCACTTTTGTTCTCAGGGCACTAGAAGCTGGCAGGCGGATCACAGAGTTTACATAGTAAACAAACAAATGCATCTTTTGGCAAACTGTTTTTAAAAGTAGTATGTGTCATTAATTAAGACTTTAGATTATATTTGTAGAAAGATTGGGCTCACTTCTCTGGGTACCACTCTTCTAAAGCTGGCTTTGGGGCTGAGGCCTTACTGGTGTCAGGTCCAGGGTGCATCTTGTACCTTTCTCTTGCTTTTCTCCAGCGCATGTGCCGTCCGTCAAGTGTGTGCTGATGTGCAGGGTGGTGTGTCTGCTGTGTGTTGGCTTCACGTGACTTATCCCATTTTGTTTGTTTGCTTGCTTTTGGTTCTTGTGAGAGTGTTGGGAAGCTATGCTTTTTCCTTGTGTCTCACCAAGGCCTGATTTTGGTGAGGCTGAGAGGAGGAAGCTAACAATAATGGAGAGTCTGCATGTGCTTTGTGGTGTGGACTGAGCAGGTGCTGAGGCACTCCCCTCTTCTCACTGCCCTTCAGTGTGTCGTGTCACTGCTTCTCAGGAGAGTGGTTCATTTGCCTGCCACTCATGGGCACGTGCTGGGAGCATGCAGTTTGTACTGGAATTGCGCGTGCGTGTGTGTGTGTGTGTGTGTGTGTCTCTGTGTCTTTGTTGTGTGTTAGTGTTATAGATCTGTGGGTTCCTTCATTAGTCAGAATTGGGTTGTTGTTGTTGTTGTTGGGTACCGTCAAGTCGGAAACCGACCTGTAGCTGCCTGCCTCTCCAGCAGGTTTTCATAGACTGTAATCACATGGGAGGAGATTGTCCATCCTTCCATGGATCACCGGGTGGATTTGAACTGTATGCCTTTGGAATTGCAGTGCAGATTCTTACTACTAGGCTGCCAGTGCTTCCAAGTTGGAATTGGATTAGACTTTAGTAAGCCAGGGTACCCTTCATCGGATGTCTGTTCATGGAGATGCTCATGTTTACAAACAGTAGGCCTGTTACCATCCTGGGTTCACATGTTCTGATAACATGTATGAGTGTCATCATCTACTTTTAGCTGGACTACCCATCCCAGCCCCTTATAGTTCTTTCTACTTAGGGTTTGCGAGTGACCAGACTAGGTGATGAAGTGAATGTAAGAGTTGAGTCCATGGCTGTATTTGTGTCTCCTCCTTTCTGTCTGCCCTTTGCTCAGGCTAGGCTGGTCACATTTCTCTTCTTTCGTGCGGTGGCTCTGCCTTCTGAAGACAGAATGTGTAACCCACAGAGGAGTTGCTTGTAACTAGGCTGAGGTGTCATACCCCATGGCGGTGTGGAAAAGTTTCACTTGATTACAACCTCATTCCCATGGTATTTCTGCAGGGCCTGGGGGTTATGTTTGGAAGGAGGGAGGTCTTAGGGGTGTTGGTGGAGCCATCTCCCTCATGAATTAGGCTATGTGTGTGAGCAGGCCCAGGAGGAGAAGGTGGTATAAGGATCCTGGAGCTGAGCAAGACTGGGCTGGAATTAATTGGCTGAGAAGTTGAACCCTGCTGCAGAAAGCCACGGGGAGATCCTGGATGACATCCTGGATGATGCATTTGCTTTTGCATTAGGCCAGGAGGAGGATGTTTTGTTTCACTGAACCACCCCATAGCTGACCCTCTAGTGGATTTTCAGAGGCAGGACATTTTTCAAAAGGAGGTTGTCCATCCTTCTCCGTCACAGCAGCTGGTGGATTTGAACTGTGTGCCTTTGAGATTGCAGCACAGCTTCTTATCACTAGACCAGGATAGGTGTTATCTCAGCACCAAGTCCTGCCTCCCCCCCAATATTCTGGGATTTTTGGGTTGTAATCCCTGTTTCATGTATGATGACCTGTGTTGTGGTTTTCCAGTTCCCTGTTCTGTGGATATCCTTTACTGTGTGGGCCACAGACTTGCTTGCTGCAGTCACATCTAGGACCCCCTGGGGTCACCTGTCCAAACACTGCCCACCTTGTCTCTTCCTCCACACTTTCTCTGATGCCTTGCTCTGTCCTGAGGCCAGATGGGCCTTAATCTGGAGGGAAGGGGAGGAGGCAGGTTATTAGAGGAAGATGAATTCTATTTCCTGTCTCTTCTGTGGCATGGAAAATCACTCTTGCATGGCTGCGGGCGTCGCCGGATGCCAGGGCTGAAGGTCTGAATCTGATCTTTAACACCGGCTCTCTGTGAGGCGGCCTCCCTGCCAAAACAGCAGCTGTGCTGTTAGAATTTATTTAAAAAGGTTTTTATTTCAAAATTAAATGATCATATTTAGAAAAGAAAAGAATGTTCCCTGAGGACAAGCTAGGCGATGATGGCACAGGGGTTATGAGCAGCTGAAGGCAGGCTTTTTGGAACACAAGGTGAATTGACCTACATCTCAGTGAAGTCTAAGTGAAATCCAGCCCCCAGGTTCTGGTGAAGGCATCTACTTAATATTTCTTGTGCTATTGGCCACATTGCCTAAAATTCAAAGAAAAAGCATTCTTTCTTGTAGAATATTTATTAAAAACTAAGGAGCTAATGGTAAGGAAGTGCACTCCCAACCCGAAGGTACAAGGTTTGAATCTACTAGCTGCTTCACAGGAGGAAGATGGACAGCTCCTTTCTTTGCCTCTTACTGCCTTTGAAACTCCCTAGAGCTGTGCGTTCGTTCTGACTTGAAGGTACGTAACAACAACAAGCAAAATAATCTTAGGTTTAAACAACAAGACTTTTTCAGAAATGAATTGTATAAAAGTACTTAAACTGTATGTATAGGAATTACAGAAAAAGTATTTTCTTGTTGTTGTTGTGTACTCATAGCAGACCCTCTGGTGGGTTTTCAGAGGCAGTTAATCGCACGGGCGGAGAATGCCCATCCTTCTCCTGCAGAACACTTGGTGGTCTCAAACCGCATGCTTTCAGATTGCAATGTAGCTTCCTGTCACTAGGCCATCAGAGCTCCCTTTTCTTAGGTTTTGTTAAAATGACAATTTTTAAAACAATTATAGCAAGTGTGTATTCTGATAAATGGTGTGTTACTGCATTCGTGTGTTACTGCTTCCAGAGTCTTTAAGGCAGTAGTGTTCACAGCTCTTGTCATTAAAATACATAATGATCACTTAACATTCCCAGGACTTCATAGAATCCTAACACTTTGTTATTTTTAGGGCTTTTAAATAACAAAGTATTAGGGTCTGTCACAGTCAACACCCATGGTGGCAGCAGTCAGAGACTTCTGTAAGGTACTAAAGGGCAGTAATACCAGCTTACACACTAAGATGTTCCTGATCCAAGCCATAATATTTTCATGTTTTGTCTATTGTTATGTGCCATCAAATTGGAGTCAAGCATAGCTGACCCACCAGGGGATTTTCGGAGGCTATAAATCGCATGAGAAGAGAATTACTTCCTATGCATCTTAGAATTGTACTGCAAATAAGGAAGACTGAAGAATTGATTCCTTTGAACTGTAGTGTTGGCAAAGAATGCTGTCTAGCTCATAGACTACCAAAAGAGCAAACATATCTGTCCTGGCGGAGCCGCGCCTTGGAAGCAGGAATGGTGACACTTCATCTCACAGGTCACATACTTGGGACATGCTGCCAGGAGCGGCTAGTCCCTGGAAAATGACATCATGCCGGGAAAGGGCAGGTGAAGAGAAAGAAAAGACTCGCAAGAAGAGAACTTGACGAAATGGGTGCTTGCTTATGTGGATGGTGCAGGATAGGGCTGGGCATCTTTGTGTTGGGCTTGAGGCACCTAACACTATCAACAGTTAGTAATTTTTTTAGCACTTAGAGAAACTATTACTATCTGGCTGAAACTTCTCTCATTTTTTTGGCTGTTAGGAATGGGCAAGTCTGATCTGTACTCTTTTTTTATTTTTATTTTATTATTTTTGTGTGAGTGTACCATCAAATCAGATCTGACTGGTACAGGAGGAGATTGTCTGTCCCTCCTTGCTCAGCAGAGCATCTGGTGGATTCGAACCGTGCGCTCTGGGATTGTAGTTGCAGCTCCTTGCCACTAGGCCACCAGAGCTCCCCCTGATTTGTACTCTTTATCCCTCTCTCCACCTCAACTTTTTTTTTAAACAAGGCAGCTCTCAGGAGAGTAAGTAGGAAGCTTGTCTCTAGCCCTCTTTGCATCTGATTTGCATGGGAAGAACTATAAATAAATAGCTCCTCGTTGGCAATTCCATAGGCAAGAGATGCCAACACAATGAGAGTGATGACAGAGTTGGATCTAGGTGGAGTCACTGCTTCCCTGTTATAAATTGCATCACCTTACCTTAACCTGACTAGGCAGAGTGATTTGCTTCTCAAAGTTTCAGTTTCCTTATCTATATGATGAGCTTGATGATAGCTTGGAACTGAAGTGATTGCTGTGAGAATTACTTGAAATTATCCATGTGCAATTTAGCACATCAGAAGCACGTCTTGATGTAAGACTTTAGGAGATAATATTTGGTTAAAAACTTAAATATTAGGGCAGTAGTTTAGGAATCCATGTATCCTTCATGAGTCCACAAAGTCTGGATTCCATGAGAATTTGAAATTCTGTTCTAGATTATTCCTCCTGTTTGATCAGGATTCTTCTGGCTCTTGGATTAAATTGTTCAGTCATGATAACTGTGCACCATCTGGTTCTTCACGTCTCAAGGTAGAAA